ATCAATTTTGTTGACCTCTCCAAGGATGATGATAATTTTTTTTAAGTTTTTTGACCAAATTTTTTTTTTTTTTATGATCATTTTGTGCAGAGATAGCAGGTTTTGTGTGCAAGGGGCTTGGACTTCCAGCAGGCATGCGTGAGCGTGTTTGATAGGAGTGAATGGAGACAAATGGTTTTTAATACTTGACGTGCTGTTGGAGTGTGAGCAAAGTAACATTTATGAAGGGGTTCAGGGAAACCGGCAGGCCGGACTTGAGTCCTGGAGATGGGAAGTACAGTGCCTGCACTCTGAAGGAGGGGTGTTAATGTTGCAGTTTAAAAACTGTAGTGTAAAGCACCCTTCTGGCAAGACAGTGATGGAGTGAATGATGGTGAAAGTTTTTCTTTTTCGGGCCACCCTGCCTTGGTGGGAATCAGCCAGTGTGATAATAAAAATAATAATAGCAGGCTCATATTTTTTTTTATAGAAAACATTAATGAAATTCTGTGGAACTAGCCAAGACTCAGAATAAATATTCCTCTTGTTTTACACATTATACTGCCTTCAGCTCTGGAACACAACCAGAAACTCATCTATCATAGAGCGAGGGAGAACTATGTCTGACTGCAAGACAATGTTAGTGGATTCTCATGACTGGCATGCTTCCACATTCTTAAAGAAATGCTGTGTATCATTCTGGCTTTCTGACTGTTGTTTACAATCCTTACTTAGTGATATACTCATTTACCAACAACTTGGAGTTACAATGGGCTCTCCAACCAGTATGCGAACCAAAATACAGTGGACCCCCGACCAATGGCGGCATCGACTAATGGCAAATTTGTCTAACGGCGCTCTTTGGCATTAAAAAATGGCTCTACCAACAGCGAAAAACTCATCTAACGGCTTGCTCAGCCACTCCAAGACTCAGTGTGCCATTGTTTACAAGCCACTGCGGTCGATTCCATGTGTACCTGCGATATATTTTGCATTCCAACGTTTTTAATGCTTGTAACCACTAAATAAGCCACATGGGCCCCAAGAAAGCTTCTAGTGCCAAGCCTGTGGTAAAAAGGGTGAGAATTACTATGGAAACGAAGAAAGAGATCATTGAAAAATATGAAAGTGGAGTGCATATGTCCGAGTTGGAAAGGCTATATAATAAACCCCATTCAACCATCACTACTATCTTGGTGAACAGAAAGGCAATCAAGGAAGCTGTTGTTGCGAAAGGTGCAAGTATGTTTTCAAAACGGAGATCGCAATTAATTGAAGAGGTAGAGAGACTGTTGTTGGTGTGGATAAACGAAAAACAATTATTAGAAGATAGTGTTTCTCAGTCAATAATATGTGAAAATGCAAGGCAGTTGCATGATGATCTCATTAAGAAAATGCCTCAAAACAGTGATGAAATTGAAAAATTTAAGGCCAGCAAAGGCTGGTTTGAGAGATTTAAGAATTGTAGTGGCAAACACAGTGTGGTAAGGCATGGTGAGGCTGCCAGTTCCGACAAAAAGGTGGCTGAAAAATATGTGCAGGACTTTAAGGAGTACATAGACATTGAAAACTTAAAACCTGAACAAGTGTTTAATTGTGACAAAACAGGTCTGTTTTGGAAGAAAATGCAAACAGGGCCTTCATTACTCAGGAGGAAAAGGCATAAGCCTATAAAAGATAGGCTGACAATTTTTTTTTTTTTTCAACAAGTCGGCCGTCTCCCACCGAGGCAGGGTGACCCAAATAGAAAGAAAATCCCCAAAAAGAAAATACTTTCATCATCATTCAACACTTTCACCTCACTCACACATAATCACTGTTTTTGCAGAGGTGATCAGAACACAACAGTTTAGAAGCATATACATGTACGTATAAAGATACACAACATATCCCGCTAAACTGCTAATATCCCAAAACCCCTCCTTTAGAGTGCAGTCATTGTACTTCCCATTTCCAGGACTCAAGTCCGGCTATATAAAAATAACCGGTTTCCTTGAATCCCTTCACTAAATATTACCCTGCTCACACTCCAACAGATCATCAGGTCCCAAATACCATTTGTCTCCATTCACTCCTATCAAACACGCTCATGCACGCCTGCTGGAAGTCCAAGCCCCTCGCCCACAAAACCTCCCTTACCCCTTCCTTCCAACCTTTTCGAGGACGACCCCTACCCCGCCTTCCTTCTCCTACAGATTTAAATGCTCTCCATGTCATTCTACTTTGATCCATTCTCTCTAAATGACCAAACCACCTCAACAACCCCTCTTCAGCCCTCTGACTAATACTTTAACTCCACACCTTCTCCTAATTTCCACACTCCAAATTTTCTGCATAATATTTACACCACACATTGCCCTGAGACAGGACATCTCCACTGCCTCTAACCTCCTCCTCGCTGCTGCATTCACAATCCAAGCTTCACACCCATATAAGAGTGTTGGTACTACTATACTTTCATACATTCCCTTCTTTGCCTCCATAGATAATGTTTTTTGACTCCACATTAATGTTGTGTAATAATACTAGTGGTGATTGCAAAGTGAAGCCTTTACTGGTGTATCACTCTGAAACTCCCAGAGTTCAAGAAAAACAATATCGTCAAGGGTAATTTGGGTGTGCCGTGGAGATCAAACACTAAGGCACGGTCACTAGAGAAATTTTCATGGACTGGTTATATGGTGTGCTTGGCCCCACTGTGAAAAATTACCTCCTGGAAACAGAATTGTCACTCAAGTGCCTCCTGGTAATGGACAATGCTCCTGCTCATCCTCCTGACTTGCAAGAGCAAATTGCAGGGGAGTTTAGCTTTGTTAAAGTGAAGTTTTTGCCTCCTAATACAACTCCTCTCCTCCAGCTCATGGACCAGCAGGTCATTTCAAACTTCAAAAAACTCTTACACAAAAGCAGTGTTTCAAAAGTGCTTTGAAGTGTCCTCAGACACTGAATTGACCATAAGAGAGTTTTGGAAAGATCACTTCAATATCCTCAGTTGCATAAACCTTATAGGTAAGGTTTGGGAGGGAGTGACTTGCAGGAGTTTGAACTCTGCTTGGAGGAAACTGTGGCCACAATGTGTACAAGAGAGGGATTTTGAAGGGTTTGGGGCTAACCCTCAGGAGCCTATGCCAGTTGTGGAAGCTATTGTGTCATTGGGGAAGTGCATGGGGTTGGAGGTTTGTGGCGAGGATGTGGAAGAGTTGGTGCAGAATGACGATGAAGAACTAACCACTGCAGACCTGCAAGAGCTTGAGGTGCAACAGCAACAGATCACAGCTCAGGAATGTGCTTCAGAGCAGGAGGAAGAGAGACGGAGGAAGTTGCCTTCGTCAAAGATTAAGGAAATGTGTACAATGTTTACAAAGGTGCAAGTGTTTATGGATGAATTTTATCCTGTCACAGCAGTTGCAAGCCGTATTGGCAACATGCACAATGACACTCTTGTGTCCCATTTTAGGGAAATCCTAAGGGCACGTGAGAAACAGAGCTCTCTGGACAGATATTTTGTGCGACAGAGGTCCAGTGACTCTCAAGCTGGTCCTAGTGGCATTAAAAAACCAAGAAGAGAGGTAACCCCACCAAAGGACTTGGTACCTGAAGTCTTTATGGAAGGGGATTACCCTTCCAAATAATAGAAAACCTGAATCTCCCCTGCTGCTGGCACATCACTCATCAACAACTCCACAATAAAGGTAAGTGGCATTTAATTATTGTTTATTTTGCATGTACCATTCGTTTCTGTGTAGGGAAATGTATATTTCATGTAAAAAAAATTGATTTTGTTTAATACTTTTGGGTGTCTGGAACGGATTAATTCTATTTCCATTATTTCTTATGGGGAAAATTAATTTGACTAATGACTAAAGGCTAGCTCTCTGGAACAGATGAAAGCCTTTGGTAGAGGGTCCACTGTAATGTATGTTAGAGCTGATTTCCTCTATTCTGTTTATTACAATATACAGTACACTACTGTATAAACATTTAAAAATATACCAGAAATGTTATAAATGGTGTAAAGGTGACATTAAAAAAATAGCTAAAGATGGTTGACACAAACCCGCCACCAGAATAGTATGCTCCTCGCCTAGCGATGAATTCGTTTACTGACGTAGTTTTAGGAATGGAACTCTGTCGTTAAGTGAGGAGAGGCTGTATTTTGTATACAAAGTGGTGCAATTTTTTTTTAACACATCGGTCACAAAATGTTAACGTTTTCATGATTGCAATTTTCTTTTTGCTTGGACCAAGAGTTGTAAATTGGAAACTAATCATAGGATACTGTTCAAAATGTACTCATTGGATTTCCCACACACAAATCTGTGTTCTTTCTCTAATAAAAATTTACTTGAAGACATTGGGGAAATACTTAAGTCACAGTATGTCCAACATTCTAAATAACAAGAATGCAAAACAAAAAGATGCATTATCCATTTTTTTCTTTAACCCTTAAACTGTCCAAGTGTAGATCTACATTCATGTGCGTAACACTCCGAACATAGATCTAAGTTTAATTTTACATGTTTTCAATCAAATGTAATAAAATGTAGATCTACGTTCAGAGTGCTACGCACATGAACGTAGATCTACGTTTGGACAGTTTAAGGGTTAAAGCTGGCTCACCCTTTCCCCATTGGCATGGGATAATCAGTGATTTATGGTACAGATATACAGACTGCATACCATAATGAATACATTTTCAAAATGCACTAAACAAAAAATACAGGTGATCTTTGACATATGATGATGCAAGAGCAATTGTTTTGGAGATGAAACTTAAGATAATTACCCAGCACGAAGGCATCAAGTCCATAACTTGTATACATTTTTTACTTTTCAATACTGGTATTTAGTTAGTTACAGTAATTATTTGTTTATTTACTTATTCAGTGACAGTAGTTGTTTGCACATTACTTATTTATTTAGAATACCATATTCGTATTCGACTTATATTTTTGACTTACGATGGGTTTGTTAGAATGTAACTCCATCATAAGTCGAGGAGCACCTGTGAAGACATTTACCTGAGAACTTTTACAGTCTGATAATTCAGTGTCGTGACTAATGGAACTGTCGTTGTCATGATCCTTTGATAGCGAAGATGTGAGGTTGGAGCTGGAGCCAGCCTGTTTCTCTGAGGCCAGCTCAGCTAGTGCTAACTGAGCAGGGGAGACAATCCCTGATGCTGGTATGTTGTTGATCTTGGTATGTCCAAGAGATGGATCTCTTCCCCTCTTGGGTTCACCGCATGATGTTCTGCTTCTTGGTGGCACTTTCGCTGAGTTCAAATTGTCGAGTGAATTGCCCCCCAGACTCGACTTGGTCTCCGGCTTAGAGTTCACTGGCAAATCATCATTCTGCCTCCTGCGCTTTATCTCCCAACCGTCCTCTCTCTGAGGCATATTTCTTTTACTATCAGCACATTCTTTTCTGGGGTTTGTCTCTGAGGGCTCAGCAAGCCCTCTGATCTTGAGGCACTCGGCAGCCTTCATAAAACTTGAGAGGTCACTCTGCAAGACATTCACCTCACCAATATACATATAATCCAAGAGTGTCTCTAAGTATTCGTGTTGGATGTCCGTCAGAACGATCATGAGGTGTTTGTTGTCTGCCACTTCAAACATTCTTTCAAAAAACTCACTACATGTTGACAGAACAAGTCTGTGAACAGGGTAGAATTTTCCATCACAGGCTATGGTGGCATCGCAATAAATTTCCTGAAAAGTTTAAACAGTAATTAATTCCAAAAGAATTGGATTAAGAAAAATCACATCATATGGTTATGCTCAGAATGGGAACCACCAAGACAGAGACAGATGGTCCAAAGCTGACAAGTGGTGAAATAAATACAATTGCAGAGGTTAATTTTAGTAAAATATTCTGCATGATTGAAAAAGCTTGTTCCATGGGAGAAGCCCTTGATAATTTTCCTCTCTACAATTGTCTGTTTTACCAGGAAATCATCTATCTGAGCATCACTCTGTAAAGAAATAAGAGTTAAAATATCATAGCTGGAACAATTCCTGAATAACGCAAAATTTAGAGAGCTGGAACAATTCCTGAATAACGCAAAATTTAGAGAGAAAACTTTATGCAATATTATGGTCTGTCCTGGACTTAGTAATAATCCAAGACAGACTGAAATATCTAAAGTTTGCTTTCCAAACTATGGATCAGTTATAAATCACCTTAATAGATGTTACTGATAAAAGTAAATAATATATCTAATAAATGTAATAAATCTAAATCTGATTGTAAAATCACTAACTTTTTTCCGAACAGATGAGAGCATGCGGAAAAATGTGGAGCGATGATCCCTCCATTTGAGGCACAAGAGTCCACCATCCATGTCAGCTTCCTGCTATAGGCACTCTCTTTCCTGCAATGTTGAACAACTCATTAGGATTGACAATATGAAATAAATACAGAATGTAGTAAAAATTTATAGTATAAAAAAAGTTAGAAACGTGAAGGTGGGGTGGAGATATGTTGCAGTTTTTGAACTACATACAGTAGTGGCATACATCTGGCAAGACAGTGATAGTGTGAATGATGGTAAAAGCGTTTTTTTTTTGGGTTACCCTGCCTCGGTGGGAGACGGCCAACGTGTTAAAAAAAACATACATATACATATGCAAAAATCGTGACTTGGAGTTTACCTGGAGAGGGTTTCTGGGGTCAACGCCCCCGCGGCCTGGTCTGAGACCAGGCCTCATGGTGGATCAGGGTCTGATCAACTAGGCTGTTACTGCTGGCCACATACAAGCTGACGTACGAACCACAGCCCGGTTGGTCAGGTACTGACTTTAGGTGCCTGTCCAGTGCCTTCTTGAAGACAACCAAGGGTGTATTGGTAATCCCCCTTATGTATGCTGGGAGGCAACTGAATAGTCTTGGGCTCCGGACACCTATTGCGTTGTCTCACAGTGTACTCGTGGCGCTCCTGCTTTTCATTGGGAGAATGTTGCATCTCCTGCCAAGTCTTTTGCTTTCATATGGAGTGATTTTCGTGTGCAGGTTTGGTACCAATCCCTCCAGGACCTTCCAAGTGTATATTATCATGTATCTCTCGCCTGCATTCGAGGGAATACAGATCAAGGACCTTCAACCGCTCCCAGTAGTTTAGGTGCCTTATCACACTTACGTGTGCTGTGAAAGTTCTTTGTACACTCTCCAGGTCTGCAATGTCACCAACCTTGAAGGGGGCCATTAGTGTACAGCAGTATTCCAGCCTAGAGAGCACAAGCGATTTGAAGAGAATCATCATGGGCTTGATGTCCCTAGTTCTGAAGGTTCTCATTATCCATCCTATCATTTTCCTAGCGGATGAGGTAGATACATTGTTGTGGTCTTTGAAGGCAAGATCCCCTGACATTATCACTCCCAGGTCCTTCACATTACTTTTCTGCTCTATTGTATGGTTAAAATTTGTTGTATACCCTCACACATTTTTAATTTCTTCAAGTTTTCCATATCTGAGTAGTTGAAATTTCTCCTCGTTGAACTTCATATTGTTGAGTGGCCCATTCGAAGATTTGGTTGATGTCCAATTGGAGTCTCGCAGTGTCTTTGATGGAGGTCACTGCCATGGTGATCCAGGTGTCATCCGCAAAGGAAGACATGGAGCTATGGCTTACATCTCTGTCTACGTCAGAAATGAGGATGAGGAATAGAATGGGAGCAAGTATTGTGCCTTGTGGAACAGAGCTTTTTACCGTGGCTCTCTGAGACTTTACTCTGTTTACTATTATTCTTTGTGTTCTATTTGTCAGGAAGTTGTAAATCCATCTACTGTTATTCCTTTATCCCGCATTTTGTGTGCTACTACACCATGGTCACACTAGTCAAAAGCTTTCGCAAAGTCTGTGTATACTACATCTGTATTTTATTTATCCTCTACAGCATCCAGGACCTTGTCATAGTGGTCCAGTAGCTGGAACAGGCAGGAGTGACCTGCTCTAAACCCGTGTTGCCCTGGGTTGTGTAATTGATGGGTATCTAGGTGGTTGGCGATCTTGCTTCTTAGAACCCTCTCAAAGATTTTTATGATATGGGATGTTAGTGCTATCGGTCTGTAGTTCTTTGCAATCACTTTACTGCTACCTATGTGGAGTGGGGGTATGTCTGTTGTTTTTAGTGTGTGTGGGATGACCCCTGTGTCCATGATCCTTCTCCATAAAATGCTAAAGGCACGCGATAAGGGCTTCTTGCAATTCTTGATGAACACGGAGTTCCATGAGTCTGGGCCTGGGGCAAAGTGCATGGGCATGTCATTAATTGCCTCTTCAAAGTCTTGTGGAGTTAGAATAATACAAGATGCAAAACAACCACAGAGGGAGTTGAATGACAGCTCTAAGATTTTCGTGTTGAAATCAACCCATGATCACGAGCTTGCAATATTGCAGAAATGAGTAGGTGGTCCCAGCAGCTTCATTCAGAGGAACGTTCTGCAAGCACTAAACCTGTACAGTTTAAACATCATTTGGGAAATAAGAGGTAACAAGACTGAATTGAAGGGAAGGTTAGCTAAATTTCCCTGGATCAAGAGCTCTTCACCAGTACCAAGGCAACCCTTCCATCCCTCAAAGGGGCTGCTGCAGGAGATATATATATAATAGTAGCACTCTATTATGTATTAATTTTTCATTTTAAAACACCGACTGTCTCTGGTCAGTGTGTTGAGAAAAAAGTGCCAAAAAGTTTGAAGTATACCATCAGTAATAATAGGGATGAGATGTTCAAAATTTTCTGCCAATACCAATACTGATATTCAAAATTAGTCGATACTCACTAATACCATTAATCAGTTTGGGGGCAATGTCGATGCTGATACCAGCAAAATTAGCTAATACCAATACTCAGTTTGGAGATGGTACTGATACCAACAAAATTAGTCAATACTAATTCCAATACCAAGTTTGAAGATGATGTTAATATCGATACCATCAAAATTACTTGATACTAATACAGTGGTCCCTTGTTTATTGTTGTTAATCCATTCCTGGAAGTGCGACGATTATCAAAATACAGTGGACCCTCGACATTCGATACTAATCCGTTCCTGAGAGCTATCGAATGTCGAAAATATCAAAAGTTGAATTAATTTTCCCCATAAGAAATAATGGAAATCAAATTAATCAGTGCAAGACACCCAAAAGTATGAAAAAAAAAATTTTACCACATGAAATATTAAGTTTAATGCAATAGAATAATTACAATAACAACAATAACAATAGAATAATTGACACTTACCTTTAATGAAGATCTGGTGATGATTGATGGGATGGGAGGAGGGGAGAGTGTCGAAGTTGTTACTGTTTAGAAGGGGAAACCCCTTCCATTAGGACTTGAGGTAGCAAGTCCTTTTCCGGGGTTACTTCCCTTCTTCTTTTAATGCCACTAGGACCAGCTTGAGAGTCACTGGACCTCTGTCGCTGATCCTTTAAGATTCGTCTAAAATGGGCCATAACATTGTCATTGTAATAGTCACCAGCACGGCTTATAATAGCTGTGTTAGGGTGATTTTCATCCACAAAGGTTTGCAGTTCAACCCACTGCGCACACATTTCCTTAATTTTTGAAGTAGGCAAATTGGAGTCCACAACTGGCATAGGCTTCTCAGGGTTAGCCCCAAACCCTTCAAAATCTTTCTTAATTTCCATACTAATTCTCACCCTTTTTACTACAGGGTTGGCACTAGAAGCTTTCTTGGGGCCCATGGTGACTTATTTTGCAGAAACAAGCACCAAAAACAGTGATAATATGGATAATATGGAATGTACCGAATGTATCCTTAGATGCGCGCACACTGGCTGGCTTGTAAACATTGGCACACACGGGGCAGTTCAGGCCACACGTGGACATGTCTCGTACGAATCGTATCGAATGTCAGGTTTTCCATCAAATGTCGAGGCGAAATTTTTGCGTTAAAATGCATCGAATGTCGGATTTATCGAATGTCGATGCCATCAAATGTCGGGGGTCCACTGTAGACGATTTTCGAATCAATTTTCCCCATAAGAAATAATGTAAATACAATTAATCCGTTCCTGACACCCAGAAGTATTAACCCTTTGACTGTTTCGGTCGTATATATACATCATACGAGATACCGTGTTTGACGTATCTATACACTTAAATTCTAGCGGCTTCAAATCAAGCAGGAGAGGGCTGGTAGGCCTACATGAGAGAGAATGGGTCTGAGTGGTGGGTGTGCACCCTGTGAAAAAATCTGGGACTCAGCGGTGCATTGTGGGAACGCCATCTTGGTAGTCCATTTTCACCATGCCTCGCGGTAAGAAGTTCCTCACTCCTCGGCGGATTCGAGGTCTTTTGTTCCCAAGTGATAGCTCTAACAGCGATGAAAGTGTCAGTGAAAGTGAATTCCCTGGTTTTCAAGCGGGTGTGACCGAAAACAGTGCCCAGGAAAACGTAATTAGTGATGAAAACCCAGATGACCCACAACCTTCCACCTCTGGTGCTGGGCCGGCTCATTCATGTTCACCTGTACCAGGACGAAAGAGGAAACTATTTGCCCGTGTACAAGACTCAGATGTGAGCAGTGTAAGTGATAGTGATAGTGATTTCAAAGTTATTGAAAGCAGTTTTAGTTGCAACAGTGAAGGTGAATATTCCCCAGTGAAGCAGCAGTATATACAACGTCGCTTGCAGTCTGGTAGTGTGCCATATGCTGTTCCAAGGGGAAGGAGTAAATCTTGGAGCAAATCCGGTGGCCCTACACCACGACCTGATAGTGAAGATGATGATATTGCTACGATGGGTATGAATGATGCGAGTGAGGCAGCAGGTGGTGGTGGTGATAGTGATAGTGGCATGAGTCATGTGGCACCAGCAGTGGGCCACGCTACTACCGACGCTGCTGACTCTGCACAACTACAACCAGCCTCACCCAACCCCACACTCCCACAACAACCACAACCACAACCTGCACAACCATAACCACATTTCAATATCCAGAACCCACCAGCTGACCGCATCTGGGATTGGCAGCAAGGTGACGAGTTTGTTCCCAGTCCCCATGACCTTGATGAAACACAAAGTGGAATATGGCCATCATGTACACTTGGGAACAATGCCACTGAACTGGAATGCTTTCAGTTGTTCTTCGTTGAACCCCTGATGGACATTATTGTCAGGGAAAGCAATATATACTTTGAGTACATCATGGCAAACACAATTCTTCCACCAAGATCACGCCTACACCAGTCGAAGGACAAAACTGTGGCAGAGATGTATCTGTTCTTTGCCACAATAATGCTTATGCCACACATGTATAAGAACAGTGTCAACACATACTGGTCGACAGACCGCCTGATTTCAACCCCAGCTTTCAGTGACATTATACCAGTGAATAGATTT